TTTTTGGTATTTTTTTGGAGTCTGGTGGTGCAGGGACAGCTCAAGGACATTGATAAAGCAAATTATAGGCCAGTGCTTGCCAGGTTAATCTGAGTGTCTTTGGCAGTAACCTACGGGATTTTGTTTTAATTTTTGTCTTTGAGGCGTCCATTTCACTGCAACCTTGCTCTAGCGAAACGGCGAGCCTGCGCCTTTGTGCAACAGTCTGGCAGAGCTTTGGCCCCAGGTCCTTGATTTTTAGAACGGGGGGAAAGGTCCCAAAGAGTACAAAATTTGCACTTATTTGATCAAACTGCTCTTCACCAGCACCTGTGTCAGCTGGGAGGTAGATGAAGCACCTTAGAAACATACCCTGAGCGTGAGTATCGAAATTTAGTTTGTTTTAAGTTTGTCTGGATAGGCATTGTAATTGGGAGATGAATAATTTATTAAAACATTCAATAGTTTTAATTTTAATAGGATTTTGAGTTAGCAAACAAGTAAAAAACAGACCTCAGCTGAGCCCTCTGGTTTTGTTCCTGTGGTGTTTGTTGTGGTAAACATCTGTGTGAATGGAAGTGTTCCTGAGAAAATACTTAGGGGTCACAGAATATTTAAATATTTTAATTATTTAATGAGATTTAGATTCTAGGGATACAATTTCCTTATGTAATAAATTATTTTGCAGGTAGGGATCTTTTTTATGTTTTCACAAAGGCCAGGCTTGTGTATAAACTGTATAAACTGTGTGTGTGTATAAACTGTTTCAACAGGTTTCTAGTAGTAGAAGTTTTGGGAGGCTCTTTGAAGACAACTGCTCTCAGAAGAATGGCATCGTCTTCTCTACAAATTTCTGCGTTGCTGCTGGCTTTAGCGGGATTCACCACTTTACTCGTTACCAGCCTGTCTAACAGATGGAAAGTTTCGGACACGGCGACAGTGCTCGTTGCTGCGGACTGGATCTCGGAAGGTCTCTGGATGGACTGTGCAGTGATCGCTTTGGGATCCACTGAGTGCAAGATATTTCCCTAAGTGCAGAACGTAAGCGTGCGTTTTATCTGTGCATAAAACCCAGGGATGTCGGTTTTATTCCGGGGCTTTATTGCCGTCTCTGTTGTGTTGACATAGAGGTACGGGTGATACACTGTGAATCTAAGGTTTTTCTTTCTTCTTGTAGAAGAAATAGCATCATTTTACTCAGCCTAATTCTTAACTACAAGCAGATCACAGATCAGTGAGTACTCGTGTGTGTTCTTGCTTTGGTGTGAGACAGGACTTCTTAGAAATTCCAGAACTTGTTTGATACTTTCTGCTAAATCTCTGTGTTTGTTCTGGAATTTCTCAGAGGCTGCCAGCTCAAATTAAAAAACATCCGTGTGACTCATGCTTTTGTGTTTTCTGAAGCAGACCGTGCTATTTGCAAATAGAAAGAGAAGAATTATCTTTATAGGGGCTGGAAATTGTTTGTTTGGATTGTTCTGGATTTAAAGAATACCTTTCTGTAAAGACTGTGTTTATGGAAAGGACCGACATTGAAGTTTTTTTTCCTCAGAGCACTTGGTGTGGGAACAGTAACAGCACAACCTTAGAAAGCTGGCATTTTGTTAAGCTTTCTGTTTTAAACAGAACTTTGCGTTTATTCTTTTACAACATTCAGTATTGTGCAGTCACTTTATGGGCTGTATCATGGAATCATTTCTTCGAGCCTTCCCTGCTTTATAGATCTGTGATTACTGTCATTTGGACTCCTTCCAGCTGATTTATTCTTGATGCGCAGTGTTCGAAACTCAGAAATACCACATCTCGCAGACTATGACCGCTCGGTTTTCTTCACACAGCCGTGGACTCCGCTGCAGACAGAGCTGCCTAAACTGTAAGGCAGATCGCTCAAATGTGGGGGTTTAACCCTCAAGAGTCAGCTTCCAGGATTTAGCACATTCGTGGTTCTTCCTCAGGGCCCTGGCTTTCATCTGCTTCCGTAACAATGGGGCCGATTTAAAAAGTATCAGCATCCTGTAACAAGGCCTCAGATTTGAATTTGTAGCCTCAAAAGGAGACTAATCCAAGGATTTTAAAAACACATTGTGTCAGAGACAACGCCGACTTTTCGTACCATTCTGGTACCCATTCTGCTCCTCTCTAAGTCTTCCTCTACGTAGCTATGAGGATGCTTATGTTTCATCTGGAAATTTAAATCTGGTTTCTGGAAATTAAAGGGATGAGGTAGGATCAACAATCCTTCATAAGTTCTCATATGTGGTAGCAAGGTGGCGCAGATATTTGTGATGGTGTGACAGCTCTGCCTTGGCTGGTGTAACTGGGAGAACAGGTGACATGTTTCAGTTACGGAGACAAGCAGAGTCAGTGTGGGACAGCCTCTTTTTTTTTTTTTAAAAAAAAAAAAATCCAGTTTCATTCTCATGGAAAGAGAAAATATCCCCCAGGAACAGAAGAGGTCCTGATGAACTGAAGCAGTCACCCTCCCCCAGGGGTTCTCAGGATCAGGTTGAGAGGACTTCATGGATCATTTTCAGCTGTTCAAAGGACTGTGTGTCCCTTAAAACCAGCGTGGGGTTCCTCGTGCCAGCTGCCAGGCACGTCCTGTGGCTGCCTGCAGAGTAATTGCTGTCTGTTCCGGGGCTGTTGCTCTTCTTGCAGTGCTCAGTCAGCATTCCTGGGTCTTGAAACAAATCTGCACGTGTGCTCAAAAAGGTGTAGCTCCCATCGATCAAACGATTAAGGTGTTCGCATTTTTGGTACCCTTTTTTTTTCCTGGCTGTATTGCCTGGTCTGATTTTTCCTTGTGGATGAAACAAAGCAGGGAAATGTGCTCCAGGAATGCACTTCCAGATGTCCAGCTGCTGACGGGCGTTTGGTTCACCCGACTGGGTCGGAGCAAGTCTGAAGGAAGACTCCCAAGTCGTGGATGATGTTGATGTGAAGCCATCAGTTATGCTTCTGATGTGGAGCAGGATTTACTGTTATGTCCATCGCTTACCAAGCTGTAGTTTACAAAATTTAAGGAATATTTGTATAGCGAATATATCTATATCTATATATATTTATTTATTTATGTATATATTGTGTAATCTACTTTTGGCGATCCTGTTTTGGCAGGGGGGGTTGCACGAGATGATCTTTCAAGGTCCCTTCCAACCCTCAACATGATTCTGTGGTTCTGTGAGTGTATTATAGCGAAATTTAGTGACTAGTGACCCTGTGTTCTCCAACACCATTGAGGGAATGATTAAAATGCCTGGTGCCATGTGGGAAAACCTCATGCATTCTAGGTCTGCAGTTTAATCTCTTTGGTTTATATGTGTGTGTTTCAACTGCCTGTTGAAATAGATTTCTCAATTGAAAAGTGAAATTCTTAAAGCTTTTTTTTTTTTATTCTTGACATCCATATAAAATCTGCAGACGTGTGATTGAAGGTCTCAGCTAAAGTCAACTTTGCAAATGCTGTCAGCAGAAGCGATCGCTGAGGTCTCCAGGGTAGCACCTGTGTGTGGATAATTTGAAACTCTTTGAAGGGTTTTTATGGGATGCAGATACTCCAATGTGTTCATTTTACTATCCCGTAACTTTTCACATTGCAGTGGCTTAGGAGAAGGAGGGGATTCTGTAGAAGTCACCTGAGAAGATAAATTCTTCCCACACGCTATCTAGTTTCTCTCAGAGGTTGCAAGTACGGAGATGCACAGGATCACACTGCTTGTGCCACCGAGTCTATTCTAGTTCAACCAATGGCAAAGATTCTCTTGGCTGCCAAGGGAGCACTGTAGTGCCTTTTTGCAGCTGAACCGACGAACTGTCAGCATCAACAAAAAATGACCGGTGAATTTTTTAAAAAAACGAACTCCCCAAACGAAGCACTAAAATCCGCAGATATCTGTTATGGCAAGTTGTGACTCTCTCAACAGCTAATTCTTCTGGTAGAGTGTATGTAAATGCCCTGAATCTGTTGCCATGTTGCGTCACAGCAGGATTATTTTATGAAGAAACTCTGACTCAATTTCCTGGAGATAAGAGCAGGTTATCGCTGCAAGAAACGGTTAACCCCATTTGGATCCATAGGGAGTTTAAGGCATTAACGTTAACGGGGCATGTGAGTTGAGCCTATGATTTTGTCCAGTCAGGAGCAGGTGCAAGTAAACTAAGTTTAGCATACTTTGCCTAGAATAGATTATTTTTTTAATACTGAGATACTCTGAGAAGCAGATGCAGTCAGCTGATATATATTATTTTTCATATAACTGTTTGCCTTCATAATTTCATTCCTTTTGAGACAGGTCTGTCTGGCTCACTCATTCCCTTGCATTTCATTTCCTTGAAAAGTGCATTGTTACAATTGTATTCCAGTGTAAGCAGGAGTGTTTCTGAGCCTGAATGTGTTTAACTGTAGATCAATAGACTGTAAAACATTAATGGAAAGCACTCATCCCCAGACTTAACCTTCTTGAAGGAAGCTGGCAGTACAGTTGCTATGGATTACTTATGACCATAACTCCAAAAAACGTGCTGAATTTTCTAGCAATAGAGTAAGTTCTTGTTCTCAAGCTTCTTAATACTTGAGTCATCAAGAAAATAACACAGGAAAGCATTTTGATTTGAGATCAATAATAAAATTACAAACAATTGTAGTCCTGTGTAAACCCTGGTTGACTTCAGAGGAGAGACAGAAATAAAGGGTTTGCCAATGTTGTCACTCTTACAAGGTATTTTGTAGAAATCCTGACCTGACTTTGTAGGCTGAAGCCAAGAATAGGCTCGTTTTGTCTCTTCTCATTAGAAACAGAATTAATATTGTCATTTTAAAAAACATGTTAATATCTTTATTGTGAACTGCTCCCACTTCTTATTGTCAAGGACTGTAAGCCTTATCTCCGGGGTTGAGCAAAGAGCAAAGGTAGCCTCATTTTGGAGTGAAACCCAGAGATAAAACAGCAAGGAGGCTTCTGAAAGGCTTCACTTGATTGTAATCTAATTATAGGGATATTTAACTGTTACTACTCACAAGCATGACTGCTCCGTTGGAAATCGTTGGGTTTCTTTTGTGCTTGGGTGGGTGGGCGATTATTGGAGCTACTTTGCCGAATAATTACTGGAAGGTCTCCAGCGTATATGGGAGCGTGATCACAACGTCGACGTTGTTTGAAAACCTGTGGAAGAGCTGTGCAGAAGACAGCACCGGAATATCCAACTGCAGGGATTTTGACTCTATGCTCGCACTGCCTGGTATGTGACTTGGGGCAGTCTCGTTTCTATTGCTTAAAAAATTGTTGGGGGGGGAAAAATTGAAAAGGCTTTTTGTTTGGTAATCGGATAGTACTGGAAAATAACCAGCCAAGAAGGACTTTGTGGGTTGAAGTAATAAAAGGCTCTTAAGCAGCAGAATGTGTCAGGCACGTTCGGAAAGGCTGTAAAATAAGGCAAATGAAGTCGCTTGATCAAGCATTATTTTAATAGGCATTTTAAGTATGTGGTAATCTGTTTTCTAGCACCTTGTGTGAGGAACTAGTAGGAGACATTTTTTTTTAACACATCTTGTGACAGTTCCGTGTTTATTTAGAGTTATCATATAGGCCTTCTTAAGCAATGCTGGATAGAAAATGCACTGTATCTGGAGTTTTTTCATATAATAGGTAAGAAATAATATTTATAGTTAAGAACTGATAGTGTGTTTTGCGTGTTGAGACTGAAAACCTTAGATAATGGAAGAAATACAATGAGTATATGTTGTACATATTATGCCGTGTAAGTTGTAAGTTATGCAACGAGTATGTGTTATAAATTAATAGACTTGTCAGGATCTGTTAACTAATGTCTTGCTGGATGTGGTTCTAGGAAATGTGCTCCCTGGCAGCCAAGAGAACCTAGGAAATGTAGATCTGCTGGCTCCGGTGCTAATTATCTGTCTTCAGCAGAATTGTCCTCAAATGCTCAACTCAGGCAATATTCTCTAGATAGCAAACATATTTATTGACAATAAATCTAGGGGTTTTTTATTAATCTTGAATAATTCAGTATGTAGATACTTACCTCAGAATAAAAATGCCTTCCTACTGAGCTGAATCTACTCTGGGAGGTGGCTAAACTAAACAGGTAGGGGGCTACTCCTGATCTGAAGAATGCATAGAATAGAACTAGTGGGAATGAGGTATTGAATTCACGTTCTCAGTCTAAAATAAACTGATGCTGTTGACCAGCTCTGACACTAGCATGGCAATTCTCTCCAACTGTCTGTGTCCAGCATTGGGGAATAATCCATTCTTTCCATCTTTCAGTGTTATCTAACAGTTGGTTTCAAAATGCATGTGTGTTTAAACTTCTTGGATCCAGCAGGATCCTGTCCATGGGACATTATCCCCGCAGAGCGCTTCTGTGAGTGCACATTTATTTCACGTACAAACACTTCAGGGGTTGTTTTTTAACAGCAACATCTTGTCTTTGATGTGTTTACACAGAGTGTTGCCTCTGAGAGCGTCACGGAGCTCCTGTGTGTGCAGATGTGGGCACAACAGGCCAGCATCTTGGAGCTGCTGAGAAAAAAGCAAGGATTTTAAAGAAATTGGGGTGGGCAGGTGGAGAAACAGACGCAGAAAAGAGCATTGTGAGCAAATGGGCTGAAGCAAAAGAGGGAGGCGAGAGCAGCAGCAAGGCTCTGAGAGAATTGCAGGTGACAACATGGAGTCAAAAAGCAGGAAGGAAAAAAAATGGGGCCAGATGGAAAGTAAACGAATAGAGCAGGCTCGGAAAGTGAATTTTTGGAGATTAGATTTGATCTGTTGAAGAGGACATGGGTTATGGTGTTGAGAAGGTGGCAGTGTGTTAGGGGGGTATAAGCGGGGGAAGAGAAAGGGAAAGGCAGCTTGCAGAACTGCAGAGAAGGAAAGGGTTTAGGCAGGAGAAGTGAAGAAGAAGACACTGAATTTTAGATAAAAGTCAAGCTGGGCAAGCCAGGAAAGAGGAGGAAAGTGAGATTGGTAGAAACATGTGCTGAGCAAACAGAGGGGCTTCCCAGAAATGCCTGCAGCACTTGCAGCTGAAAGCTAAGGCAGACTGGAAGTTCTCCTGGTCCCTTGAGGTGTGTTTCAAATCGCTGTGCAGCAACGTCGCTGAAGCCTCCACAGAAGATGCCAGGAATTGGTGGGAGGGGAAAAGAATACAGAACAAACGAAAGTGTCTTTGTTGCCTCTCGTCAGAAAGGCCATAAAAATCTTCCTTCATGGTGTCCTTACAGGCAGCTGCGCTACGTGGCACACCTCTGGGTTTTCTTCTGTGCATGGGAAAGATCAGCCTTGATTCTTTTAAACAGCTTTTGAATCCAGCAAGCCACTAACCCAAATCACAGCTGTTCCAAGGGAGGGCCGACGGGTGAAACCATGACTGGCCCCGATGTACAGCTGGCTCTGCCTGCCCAGTCACAGCAAGATCAAACATTTGATAGAAAGCAATCAGCCGCCAAACGCTTTTTCACCTATTTTTTCCCCTTCTTTTTAAAAGTTTCATAGGTGTTTTTTTTCCCAATGACTTACAATTAATATTGATTGATTTCTTACAATTAGTATTCATTGATAAAATAAACTTTGAGCCTCGTTGAGTAAGCGCATTTTTAAGATAAAGACAACAAAAAACTGAGCTTTTT